ATGTTTTATTAATCTGTATTTTAAATCTCTTTTTAGTTACTAAGTATGCAGGGCAATGATGAAGCTCTTTTTCTGAGCCACAAACTTTGAAATCATAATCTTCCCTGCTTCTTTGCTGAGTAAGTTTCACTTGTAAATAATAAAATAAGCTTACTACTATAAATTGCCTTTCTTCAGGAATAGTTTCTTGTGAACCACACAAAAATGAGTAAATAGCAAATACAAGTTTATGGTAGGCTTTATAAAATACGATCTTTTGGATGCAAACTGGATCCTTCAGTACCAGCCGCTGGGTCCCTGCCTTTCATGGTGGCAGTGTCTGATGCCCCAGTGCTGCTGTCTTCCTTCGGCTCCCCCTCCCAGGGGGCTGCTGCTACTTTGGCGATGCTGCATACTAGCATGGGGTGAAATGCGAAGCACCACCAAAGCAATCATGTTAGGTTCCAGTACAGTATTAAATACTCCCACTGAAAGGTTGGTGGTGTTGAATTGTATAGTTTGAAGCAATTAGCGTGGAGATGTAGCTGTTCAGCTAAAACCCAGTTCTTTCCCCCACCCCAACCCCATCATCTGAGGGTTAGTGGTGTGTTATTCCTTACCTTAAACGTACTGGCTTTGCTGAAGCTGAGTAAGTGACTATCTAAAACCTGGTGGGTTTAAAAGAATGTGAAATGTTGTTCATGCAGCACAGGAAATTAACTTTTAAATTTTTTTTTATAGCTGACCATTAGTATTTGTTCAGCTTGCACCGTTGTGGATTTTGTGTTTGGAATGATCTCTGAGTTTCAAAGTAAATTTATAAGGGAGACTAAACTGGTCTTCAGCCTAATTCTTCAGAAGGGATTTTATTTGCTTTTATGGTTGGTTAATGAGCAGCCCGGGTTTATGATGTTGAAGGAGGGGAGAAGTCTGAAGTAGGAAATATTAATTAAATACTTTAAATGAGCAAACTGCATTATGTGGTTTTGGCTGTTTCCTAGCACTGAGACATCACTAAACCTTGAATGCGAATTTGCTGATTAAAATATGAGCTGGGCTTTTTCTTCTAGAAGTATATTGGCATAAAAGAGCAATGAACAGATTGTAGAAGAGAAGGTTGCTCTTGGCTTCATTTGTAAAACAGTTCTAAGGAGATATTTTTAAATTGTTGGATTTGTGACTTTCTTGAAGAAAATCCCTTAAAACTGCTGTTCTTCGTGTTTTATTTCAGTTAAGTATGTGGTATACTTAGTGGGGAAACTCATCTTTTGGGATTTTTTTTTTCCTTCTCTTCTCTCCCCATTCTATTTTGCTAAATTTTCTGCCTCCATATTGTGATGGCCTTCCTCATTTTGTTTTGGCAAAGTACCTCTGGATGTGGATTTCTCTCATGCTTGAAGCTGAAGGAGCAAAGTATACTTAGTACTTAACAAAATAAATATACTGGTGGAAGAGCCTAGGGGAGCAAGTGCTGGTCATGCTCTTCCATCAGCGTAGCTTGGTCTTCTCAGTCTGAGTTGAGACTCTAGTTGGCTTTTTCATGTTAGTGTATTTCTTTATATTCCTGGCAGAGGGAGTTCTGCAAAATTGGGAAATAAATCCAGGCTTGGTGATAATTGTGTGTGTATGTGATGCAGACACAGCTCCTGCTGGAGAACTGCATTGAAGCATCAGCTGTCTCTGACAAACTGTGTAAAGCCAAGCAAGCAATGGTGTGGTTTAAAATTAAATGAAAGAATTAGAATTAAATGTAAGGTCAATTACCAACCTGGGACATGCTCATACCAGTATCACAGGAGATGACTGTCAAGTCTTACTGCCCATCTCTGATAATTTTTTTATTTTATTTTTTTCTGTCCAGACTTGGAAGGATTTCTGCATTGAGGCTTGTCAGCCCTTGACAATTGCTTTATGCTACTTAGTTTTTCAGAATAACTGTGTTGTGTCTACATATAGCCTCTTTACTCTTTTCTTTTTTTGAGGCATCTGGCATAGCCACGAGTCTCTTCTAGAGTACCCTGTAATGAAAAAGTATCTGCGTTGCAGGAATGTAGGTGTGGATTCATTCCTACTTTGAATTGACTCACTTTGGCGCTGACACTGACACTCCTCCTGTTTCCTCACTTTGCTGTCTTCTCGTGGCCCATTTGTTTGCACACGTGTATAACTGTTCTTGGGCCATCTCCATCGGGGGCTGGCCTCCTGGTTTAGATGTTGCACCACGTGGAGTTGGGTGTGCTGCTTCACTTTTCCAGCTCGTGGCATGTTTCCCCCCTGGGGAGATGATCCAGTGCCGTTGTAAGAAAAAAACACTTGTGATGCTAAGATAAATAAGACAAGATCAAAACAGATCTAGAGGGACAAAGCAGCATTACCGTTACCTGAGCTGGAGCTGCAGGAAAGGAAGGGACCTGGGTAGGATCCTTCTTAGCCTCCTTCACGGGATCTCTGGAAACCTGAGTGGTCTTCTGATGAAAACTTGTGGAAATATACTCTTGAAATCCATGTGTTGGAATTCAATGTTTTCATGATCTACTAAGTATACCATGAAGAATGTCTTTTTGTCTCTTACATGTTTCTGATGGTGGGTATTCCTGTACAGCTGAGAAGGCCAAGGCCACTGCCAACTATAGTGGCTGGCTGCCCTGGCGAGAAGGAACAGGGAGGAGACATGCTGCCAAGCACTGTGTCCCTTTAGGTGAGAGGGAGAAGAGGTGGAGAGCTGGTGGCAGCGTGGACTTGTGCTCTTCCCATTAACCTATGCAGGTGTTGTCCTGCCTTTTCCTACTGAAGCTGCTATTTGTGTGACTCCTGGGACACAGAGTCCTGCTCTCAGACAGAGGGTTGTCTTCAGTGTAGCTGTCAGCACTGCAGAAGTGCATATTCTTTTTCCTTTTTTTCTTTTTTCTTCCCTGACCCCCTTGCCCCTCCAATTTTGGCATTTTTTTGTGTTCAGAGGCAAGCTCAGGATTGAATGAGTCAAGGTTAAATTAAATTTGGTTCACAAGCTAGTTTCTGAAATTAGAATAAGTCAGCTTTAAAGTGCAAAGTGAAATAACTCCAGAAAAAATTGTTTTATTTTAGGCATAGGTTTGGATTGCTTTGCTTCAGGTAAATTGCTTGGGGGTGGGTTTTTTCCTGGTGGCACACACAGCTCCCATCAAAGTGAATGGGGGTGTGTGCCAGCAGATGAGAATCTAACGCACCCAACGCCAAGTGAGCAAAGAGCTTTCGAAGTGCAACAGGATGACCTCATTACCAAGCAAGATTTTGCAGGAGAAGCCACCAGCAAGAGCCAACCTACTGTTTAGGTCACCTAAACAAGCCATAAGAGTGAATTTACACAGTTTAAAATGCAGTTGATTATTTCACTTTCAATTTATCCCAACCTGGAAATTAATATTAAAGGAGTAAGGTGTGATACAGAATAGCAAATAAAAGCCAGTGTCCTCATTTCCTTCACAGGATCTGCCTTTAACTCTATTTTTCAGGGGAACTTCAGTTCTGGTGGGGTTTAAATGTGAATCATAGGTGATGTAGTTTTACTGTAGCCTGCAGAAATGATGAACAGCTTCATGGGAAGGTATATAATGTGATGGTAGCCAGCATTTCAGTGCTTAAAAAGAACTCTCAGACTATTAAACCAGTTGGGTTTTCACTTGAAAAGTTAGTTATGAAGTAGATACAGTCTCCCTGTGATAAAATACTAGGATAGCAGTGTGAACACTGCTTTTTTTTATTCAGAATACTTGTGTGGATTATTTTGAGTGCATCTTATAAAGAACGCTTTGAGCGCATCGTAGCTTGACTTTTCCTCAGTAATGTTAACTCCCCCCCCCCCCCCCCCCTTTTTTTTTTAAGAAAAAACGTTTTTTTTCT